TCCAAGAGGGTCTAAAATCGATGGTCAACCCAACCCAAAAATTTCGGGTTGGGTCGGGGTGGTTGTCGGGTTATTCCGTTTCTTTTCTCCCATAACAAAAGTGTTCATGTAGAAGAATCAAAATCTCACAAATGAAAGGCTGTTTCTATTTTATACAACTATCTCACAGAAATATAAAACAAAGAACTAAAGTGCTGACCCTGCGACGGCGACGGCGACGGCAGACTGCAATGACGACGGTGGCCTGCGACAGGAGAGGCGGGCGGGGACGGAAGTTGCAGTGGGCGGCAACGGAAGCTGTAACCGGCAGCGACGGGAGCTACAAAGGCCGGCGGCGACGGAGAGCTTGAGTGAGGGAAGAAAACAGAGGAGGTAACGGTGGAGAGAGGCTTGAGAGAGGTTGAGTGAGAGTGAAATTCAAAAAATCAAAAAGGAAAAAGCCCTAACCTAAAATTAAGGGTTAGGATTAAAAGTAATGGAGGGTTGAGATTTAAGATAAAAAAACTGTTATATATTTATAATTTAAAATATATAAATTATCATATATTTATAATTAAATTATATATATATATGTACACACTGGACTGGGTTGGGTTGAACCGAAAATTTTAGAGTCGAATCTGAGACCCGATCCGGTCGAGTTGGACGTTCCACAACCCAACCCGAACCAGAGGTTAATTGAACCCAACCCAACCCATATCTTGGTAACAACTTTATAAAAATTGCTACTTTATAGTTTATGAATTTTTCTTTTAAATCTCTTATGAATTTAAATATTCGTGTTTGAATATGAGAATACCGGAGTGGAAGTAGGGTACGTTCTTGAATTTTTTTTGAAATTTAAAAGACAACAAAATATAAAACAAGGAAAAATATTAGATTTTACCTTTAAATATTCAATGAGACAACACCACTTGATCTTCCTTAAACACCACTTGATCCGAATTGTGGGAGCAAATGATTGAGATAGTAAGAGAGTTGAGAGATTTCAAGCCCCTTTAGGTCAGTTTACTGTTATATTTATAGGGAGGGGGAAATATAACACCATTAGATATCTTATATTTTTTAATATATGATATTTTCTCATGAATCTAGAGGAAATCCCAAAGCAATAAAAATATTTTTTACATTTTAATTAATAATAAAAAAATTTATTCAATCATTTAACAATTAATTAATTTAATTATTAATTAAATAAAATAAATAATTAACAATTAATTATTTAACTTTTAATTAAATATCACATATCTAATAAAATTATATATTTGAACCATATTGAAATAGTTCAAACCATATTAATTATTTGAATCTTATTTAGATATTTATCTCATAACTATAGTTAAATTATTGAAACTTTATTAAAAAATAAACTATATATACAATGAAATTTTCATAAACAATTTAGAAATTGAGTGTAACATAAATTATACATAATTGAAATCACACCAATTCCGTACTATAATTTGACAACAGTTTCCTATAAACAAGAATAATTGCACGATATCAACTAAAAGACACTAATTATTTTTCTGGTCACTTATAGCATAACTTGATAATAAATATTAAATAGCGAAGAAAAATTCGTTAATTTAGGATTCGTTTGATAACCCTTTGATTTTTAGTTTTTTAAAAACAGGCTGTTTATAATTTATACAATTTTCTATTTTTTGTTTTTCGAATATCATTTTAAAATTCTGTGTAAATTAAAAAAAAATTTCAAAAACAGATTTATGTTTTTAAAATCTGATTTTTTCTGGTAATACTCTGCTTTTTTTTTTCCTCTTCATATTTATCTCTCAAAATTTTATTTATCGTTCTAATTTTTTTATTTCTAAAGTTCACTCTATAAAATTTGTTTTTATCTCTAAAATTTTTATATTTTGAATATTTATTATTATTTGTCTCTCTCCAAATTTTTCTATAATATTTTTTTTCTAGCCAATCAGCTTTTTAAAAAAAATTTAATATTTATAAAATTTCTTCTCTTCATAATCTATTTTTTCCTCTCTAACATTATATATTATTTTTTTTTCAATTTTCTTTCACGATAACTTTTATTTATCTTTGTATTTATTTATTTTCTCTAAAAATTATATTTGAATATTGTTTTCATCTCTAAATTTGTTTCCAATAAAATTTTTCTATTTCTTTATAATTTATTTATTTTTTCTTTAACATATTTTTTCCTTTCGACTTTACTTTTTTTTTTCTATTTACCTTTTTTTTTCTAAATCTTTTTATTTATCTGTCTAAAATTTATCTTACAAAAGTCTATTTACATATCTCCAAACTTGTATTTTCATGTCCCTACATTAGGGGATGACAAAAATTTCCGCAGGGTCGGGTCCAAAAATAGGAATGCATGTCCCGACCTCGTCCCCGTTCCTGATTCTATTTTTTAAATAATTAATATATATTTATTATACTTTTTTATACTTCAATTCTAAAAATAATTATAAAACCGATCATTTTTTTCGAGAACGTCTCTCGGACCGAAGAACGAAATGGAGCGGGGACTAAAAATTTTTACGAGCACGAGAATGGGGAGAGCATCTTCACTCGCACTCACACCATTGTCATCCCTACTCTACATAGAATTTTCCTTATCTAATATGTATTTTCAATTTTCTAACATTTTAGAAATACAAAACTAAAAATGGTTACCATGTTTGGGTTTCCGTTTTTTAAAAAACAAAAAATAAAAAATTATATGTATTTATTTATTTTCTCTAAAAATTATATTTGAATATGATTTTCATCTCTAAATTTGTTTCCATTATAATTTTTCTCTTTCTTTATAATTTATTTATTGTTTCTTTAACATATATTTTCCTCCCGACTTTACTTTTTTTTTTTCTCTTTTTGTCCTTAACTTTCTTTTCACTATTTCTTTAAAAATATTTTTATTTATCTCTCTAAAATTTATGTTACAAAAGTCTATTTACATTTTTCTAAACTTGTATTTTCATGTCTAGGAGATACAAA